CTACCCTTTATTATTCACCAATATCTGTTAAGAATAAATATTCCCTAAACCAAGAAGTCTTCCACACAACTATCCGTCGTTGTCAACCACTGAAACAACGAGGACTTCTTCGACAAAACGCAGCTTTCATAACAAATGTGGTTTATTGAGATCCACCTTTATTTTGTCATCATTCCAATATGCCGGCAATACTTCCGGAATAGCAACATTTTGAATTTCGGTTTTCCAGCTTGAACCAAATATAAAAACCTTCTGCCGAGTTCGTTCCGGTAACAGTGGCTTTACGATTGTCCTGAAAAATGGACAAATAGATCTATAAAGGAAGGAATACATCATGTAGAATCCGGTCGCCACTACTTTCATTAACAAAAATATACTAATTAGTAGGAAAGAAATGGCATTTAAATAAAATAAGTATCACAGTAATCTAAATGATATGATTAATGATTACAATTAACAGATCATTTCTAAGTAAAATAAGTAATCAATAATATCTACCAGATAGAAGTCATAAATGCTGGTGCATTGACAAGCGCAAATTTATGAATCATTTCTACATAATGCTCACTCATAAATGTTGATATACTGGCCAGTGGTCCGGTCATCAAAGTCAACAGACGTTTGTCATATTTCAAATCCGTCAAATCCATCACATACATAATGGAAGCTTGTTGGCCTGCAATTTAACAAGTTAAAATTCTAGTTCGCAAGATGTTTTCTTAGACTATTCAGCACTACTGATTAATACAATACCGCAGTAGTCTAAGTGATATGATTAATGACCATATTTATCAGTGAAATTAGCTGTCGTTTAATGATTAGGCCTTTCATTATTGAATTTCAACAACTTAGTTCCGCTTCATTTTAAGGCAAATAATGATATATTTATTTTGATTTGAAGGAGTCGTTAAATAGTTCAACCCAATACAATATTAAAAAATCTGATCATTGATTGGAATTACATTTTCTAAAAGAATATTCACCAGTTTTTTCCTCCATTTCCATTATTCGACGAAGCAAAATTTCAAGATCCTGAGTTCTGGCCAACATAATTTCATGCAGTGAGAACGTCTGTATCATTCCCCAATAATCATTTCGTCCAGTTTGCTCGATATTAATAATGACATTTGGGGTTTTTACTGCTGGCCCAGTTATACCAGCCTAAATTGCAGGAATTTACAAAGGTTCAGCCGGTAACTGCAAATCTGAACAAGTCAGAAGTCGGGTCGAATTTTAGAAAAGACTCGCTCAATTAAATCAATTTTAATCCAATTCCACTGAATTAAAGCATCATTTTTTTTTTTTTTTAGTACATAAGGGTGTGAGAAGTAATCAGTACAGAGTTATTGTATGAAATTACTTTCCAGTAAGTATGCAGCGGATGATTGCGTGGTTTGCTTGCCATATTATCCAAATCCCATTTTGAATTTCGAAGGAGTAAATGATTTCTCAATTTCGGTATTAGGACATTCAAATTGTAATTATGACCTTGGAGCCACCGCAGCAGGTTGAAATCGGTGTCATAGTACGGAGTGAGCTGGAACATTTCATATAAGAATGGCAGTGGTAGAGTAAATTTTAAGATCTCAGTAAATTTTATATAATTCTAATCCAAACACACATTTGGCCACCATGCAAATGAAAGCATTTTTAATGATTAAATCAAATTAAACCTGCAATTAATTAATTAACCTTTTCATTTCTATTAGTTCTACTAGTATTTATCCGAAAAATTGAAGAATCTGTAATCACTCAAAATGTTCCGCCAAAACAATTCAAACGCTCTAATTAGCAAATTAATTAATATTGATGCTGATTAATCCTATTTAAATTTGATGAAATTTACTTAATTGTCTAAACTGCACTGTTTTTTTAAACTTTCATATATTTTCAGAAGAAATTCCTTGGTCTGCATGAATTCTAATTCAACCGATTAGCAACAATACTGATCTAATTCAATGCATAACTTGAATTTAAACAATCACATAATACATTAATGAGTTGAATGTATTCCTATAATATAATAGAAGACCTTAACCGTACCGTACCTCGTCTTTAACAGCTTCCCGTAATTTTTCAATGCTAGCTTTATCTTTTTCCGATATGGTGCAAGGAGGCATCAAAAATCTGCAACACGTATTTGGTTTAGCAAATAAATGATTATTAAATATTTTTTAAATTTTTATTGATTAACTTAAATCAATTTGATAACCGATAATTGATTCTCTCAATCAATATTTTCCATTCACTTGAAAGATTTGGAAATGTTCAACTGAATGACTTTGACTTTTTTAATCTAAGCGGCTTCGAAAAAAAAATCTTTAGATAACAAAAAAATAGGTCAGAACGTTTGTTTGGAATGGAACTGTCATGATGTTAACATGCTAATGGGTAAGGATCTTATCGCAAATTTTCATGAAAAAGACGTCAAGAAATCGGGATCGGATTACAGAATGATTGATTGAATAGTGTCATCGGGTTAGATCGGGTAGACATTTGTTTTTGTCTACAGTGTTGGATTAATAATGCTTTATTAATATCTCCAAAAGATGATGTTACTCTTGGATATTAAACCAGAAAAGCCTGCAAGATCATCTACCGTAATGTAGGACATCACAGTTATTTTCCATGATGCGGGAATGAGACAACAACATCAGTCTCCTAAAGAAAACATTCTGTTAGAAGCTTCATGTTTATCCTTTCTTCCTCCTCAACGATCTTCTGAGGATCCATTCCAAAAGCATTCATTTTCCAAATTCCCAAAAGAAGCAAAACGGGTCATTTAATTTTGATAAAAATGGGACGGATTGATCACTGAACCACTCTTTCTTATCAGTAATATCAACAGACTGACTGACTTTGCCTTCTATCCTTTATTTAATTAATAATCTTTAAAAGAAGGATTTGGATTGTTTTTAATGAAAAATCGTAAATAAAAGAATGTAATCCCTTTTTCTAAATTATTAACGTGACCTGTAATTTCTATTTTAGATTTTGTCATATTCTAAGTCATTCATAACGAGTGCTCTCGAAAATAAACTTAGGCCTCTTAAGCTCCAAATTCGCTGATATTTGACAAAAACGTCTCTAGCCAAGGAGTTATTGTACCAACTTAAACAGACACAAAAGTTTTACTATCTTTTCCCTCTCTATAATATAATATGAATTATAGTTTGTCATGACCATTCCATTGATAACAGTGATAAGAACAAGTTGCTCATTAACTTTATAAATCTATTATTAATAATGGAAATCAAACAGCCTATTCTACTTGCTTTTAGGCTTTGAAATAGTTAAATCTTGCTGAAGAATAAAGCCTTCAATGGGATGGAGTACCATCCCTTGGGCGGAAAAGTTCACTTATTGACCATATCTTTTAGCAATTGACAAAATTAGTACCAAACTATAAACAGACGAATTTACTTTAGTGAAAAATAATGAAAAATTGAAGGGATATAAGAGTGTATTCACAAATTCCTTTATATAAATAGTATAAATAGTAAGAAAACGTTAATAACAGAATGAAATGAGATGAACCTTTTGTGAAAGGAAAGGAAAATATGTGACAGAGGACCATTCAGAAAGTGGAAAGGCCTTAGGGCAAACGATTTGCGTGCCGTTTAAAGTGTGTTACCCGATTTGCATTCATTTCATGCCCATATTATTGTTGTCCGTACTCTTATCTTCTATTGATATAGCAAATTGTCGAAAATAATGGCTTAAATCCTTTTGAAGTTTAATGTTCGAATAAGAGTAATGCTAAACTTTTATTTGAATTTCAATTTTATTGCTTCATGAATATAAAATATGATCACATTTATCACCATCCATTTTTAACAAGGATCTATTTGTTGCAACGTTGTTAAGCCGGAAATCATTGTTAGCCTAGTTTATGAGGACAGGATATTTCATCTCTAATATAGTATGGCTAAAGATGATTATAAACTTTGGACATTTTACAAATAAAAGATCTCAAAGCAACAGACGAAGCGCTATTTTAAATCTTCTAATAAATAGACGGAAAAAATTTTTTTTAAAAGAAAAAAAATGGAAGGAAAAGCATTTCGTTTCTTTCCCAGCTTAAAAAAAAATGTATGTTTGCAATTCAGCAAACTCTCTAGTGACAAATAACAGTGACAAACTGACGGAAGACCCTTGACTGGATAGATGGAGTCTTCTATAATCATCGAAAAACCGGTCCTATGCAATAGTATTTTACGGATTGATTCTTATCACGTTCTTGTGATAGTTAACAACATTTGATAATATTTTGATTAATTAATTTGGTTGTACATTCGTCACATATTTTGCAGTTATTTATGGGATGAATAAAACTGATCGATCACCTTTTCGTCTAATTATTTTTGCCATAGATATGAACTGTTAAAAGTTCATTCCAAGCAAACAATTAACACTGATAGCACAAATCTAAATTAATGTAAGTCAATGACATCGTAGAACTATTAATAAATAAAGACATTGGCTACTATATAGGAGGTCTTCTCACTTTATTTCTAAAAAAAAAAGCTTCAATTCACCAATATAATGATGTTAACAATGTGTCGTTCTTTCAGCTGTAAACGATAACTTGAAATGAAATAATTTATTGACATCGCATTTACTGTTCAAATACGTCTGGCCACAACAGGAAGAATCACAAATATACAACGTCGTTAAATTTAGCCCAATTTTGCACAGGCTTTTTCTCCATGAATTTACTTACTTAATTTCAGACCTGCAATAGGCCTCAAACGAATTCTGCATATTAATTATCTGAGCTTTGCAGTGTAATTGGTTAAATTTCAAAATTCTTCGCCAGGAGAAAGTTTTGCTCAACGAAATAAAAAAGACACGGGGAATGTTTTCCAATGTTATCAATGGTAAGTCTTCTAGATGTTAGAAAAACTTTTTTAAAGCTTCAAATTGTAATATTTCATCACTTTTTCTTTCCAAGAGATTTTATATTCAAAAGTTTTGGAATTTCTTCAGGAAAGTCTTTTCAAACTTAATTCACCTATAAATTATTTATCAAATCATTTTTCTTTGAAATTATGTGCATTAGAATGACCTTAACACGGCGAATGAGCCAAGTTTCAAAGTTTTCATTTCCATGAAATATTTGTCCTCTACCATAATTCATTTAATATATGAAGCGATTAGTGCAATCGTAATGTAAAAATGCGAACTTTGAACTCCATCTACAAGACATAATTTCATGAACATATAGCCTTAAGGCTCGGTGAATATGCTTTAAAGTTAGCATATTTGTGCCAAGATCACTTTCATTATTTTTAAAATGATGAATGTTGTGATTTAAAATATTCACAAATAATAAATTTTCAATTTGTTTTTGTTTCTCGTTTATTTGATATAAGTTTTCATTCTAACTAGAAAGCAAAAAATCTTCTTATGATGACATCGGAAGGCGCTTTTTAGCAAGGTAAAGCAGATGGATGAGCTGCCAAATGCTATATGCACAAACAGGTAAACTGGAAAATTGTTAGTTTTAGAGCAAAATAATGCTCGATCTGAGACATATTTTAGAGAGTAACCAATCATATCCACCAACAATAAGAATCTTTTTTCTTTTCCACCCACTAATAATTGGTTTGTTGAAATAATTTTGTTTATAATACTTTAACATTATTAGATAATTTCATGTTACCTTCCATGTTTATGTCTCATTATTTCATGTTATGATGTTATAATGAAAAAGGAAAGCTCTGAAGAAGATTTGCATACCTTATATTCATACTGTTAATTGATTCTTAGCTTCCTAATAAAGAGCCAGTTAATAAATCACCAGCAGAATTGATACGAATGTGGGATTAAGAAGGATCATATGACAAACGAATTAGCATTAATTGATACCTATCAGTTAGAACAAAAGTTTTGAAAGAAATATCTAGAAAGAGAAAGAGCCAAAAAGAAGTTTTGATAGCATCTACGGCACTGGCATAACTCGTGCAAAACATTACAGGTGATTGAAACAACCAGAGGGTGGTACCGGGAGCGGGCGTCTTCGATCATTTTGTATTGGCATTACCGGTACTCCCCGGATACCCGTTATATTGATTGCAAATAAATTATTACCATTTCCATCTTGAGCATCAGCTAACATCGACATATGTTCAGCTTTTCCCGGCAGTGCACTCAAATGTGGCTCCGTCGTATTTAACGATTCCAAACGTCGAGAGAGCAAAAAGTTGTTGTGAAATTCGTCTTCTGAAATCTCTTCTACTACCATTTGCGCCATAGTATTACAGTCTCATAAATTCTTCTTCTGCTAATTTATAATATTACTTCAGAAGATGTTAGTTCACAAACCATAGATGTTTTTATGGTTGACAGGAGGTGGTGGCGGTCTTCGATATGGATCTAAGTTGCTTGCCGAATTCTGACGCATCATGTGGAGATCCTCTTGCTTATCGAGAAACGATTTCGGACAGCATAACATCCACCTGCATTTTTCAATGTCCAAAGTGTCATGAAATTAAAATGCATAATATTTGACATCCTTAAGCTGTTATTCAAAAGTGAAAATTGGAATTAAAATTTTTTCTAACTCTCCCTACATTATTATTGTAAAGCAGTTATGTGAAACTACCAATGTAATGGCGACGACTAACCTGGGCCACATAAATTGTGATATGTTATCAGAAGAATCAGTGATTCGCTGATCACTTCCATTGCTTCTCCTGGATTTTCTACTGGAATTTCTTAACAGTATCAATTAATTAAATAAAATAATAAAGCTTTCAAAACCAATAAATAGAGAGGTCATTGTTTCATCCAAATTTGTTCACTGCAAACACTCCCAACAGTTTACAATGAGTTGTCGATTAATGATAAGATAAGAAGAGAAATTTATACAAAGCGCTGTCAATATCGATCAGAAGTGAAGCCAACCGAAATTTTAAAGTCGAAGAAAAAGCTTACTTCTTACTCAATACCAGGTAAGTAATGACAGTGATGAAAAAAACAATAATGAGTGATGTACCAACACTGATTAGAATCCATACAAACCATGGAATTTCTTCTGAAAAATAGATGAAAATTAAATAGCAGTGTAGTTTAAATTAAATTTAAATTGGATCAATCATTGTAACTTTACTAATACCAATATTTTAACCCTGAAAATTGAGAAGAAGACAATTTAGATGAACAAATTATAGAAGATGATTGTGGAATCAGTGAATGAACAATGAAAACCTGATTTATAATTGATAAAATTAAGAAAAAAAGATAAAGGCGTTTGACTACAGGAGCAAACTGAAAAACGAAAATGATAAATTAAAAAATTCATCAGAGGAGAAAGCTGAAAGAGAAATATCATGAAAAAAGTTAGAGTAATGATTTCTTGATATCAAAGTGATAAGGAATCCTAAAAGTTAATACATTTTTTTTGAGCGAAATCCTTATATTCATAATAAAATTTAAGGATTGCAATAACAAATCATGAATGTAATCAGATATGCGAGCCTAACTGATAATTGAATAGGTCGTTGAATAGGTGAGCGAACAAATAAGCAGAAACAAGGATAATGTATTCTAACTGAAATTTTTGGAAAGAGTGGTGTTAATTGGTTATCACTGATAACAATAATTATTTGGTACACCTTATTTCCTGTTGGTCACACGACTGTCCGAACACACCAGTATATTTACTCTCAGAACAAAATTTTTAATCCTTTTGATACACTCAATAAGCCCACATGCTTATTCAGCTTCCATTCCTCACCGAAGAGTGGCATTCAGGTCAGTGGCTAAGAGTTAAAAGATAAAATCAAGAAATGGGAATTAACTGTAACTTTAAAAAACGAAAGCGAAAAGGTTGGCTGACACAGTGCAAAAGCAACGATGGACAGATATTATAAGAGACCTGAACTGTGAAAAGTTCATATTCAGATAGCAAGAAAATAACCTTTTAACAGAATTTTAAAATAAATTAAATGCTTACCAAAGATATCCCAACCGCTGATTGTATTGAAAAAATATTTAAATGTTGAATTTGTGAAAGTTGTTGTTGGTGTAATGTTGATATCACTACTAATGCTATTACTGTTAGTTGTCGAATTTCCAAAAAATTTTATGATTGCATCATCCCATTTCCACTGGGACCAGTTATCAGTTATTACTGTTGTTACTGTAGCGATACTGGTTTCAGCGACAACGATCTTTTCCTCATATTCAATGACCGTTTCATTGTCCATTCGTCCCCAACTAGTTTTCCCATAGAATTGAAGGCAGTGAAGTTTGGAAGTTTGAATAATACCTAGCTGTTCATATGTATTGAAAATACTCTGAAAATGAATTTTTCCTGAATTGAATTAAAAGCATTTCCTTCAAGGAGACAAATGAATTCATAAACCGATCGAAGTTTAGCCTAAGAGACTAAACTAGTCACCAGTAATACTGTTATTTTAACCATTAATTCAGCCATGAAAAGACTTTTATACAATTAATCAAAGGCATAAAAAACAACTCCACTTATCACTGTAATTCTATCAGCAAAACATATAACAGTTAAAAATTCTGGAAGATCGCATTCCAAAATTTAACTTTTCCATTTCAGGTAAACTTAGCTTTTGTTACAAAAAAGTATCTTGTTGTTAGCAAAGTTTGATAAAGAATTAAGGTGAATTATCGTGGAATTATTCTTGAAAATAGTGAAATAGAGTTAATTTTAGAAGAAAATATTACGGAAAGTAACTTTAGCTGATTATTGTTGAAGCATTCTATTATTAGCATTAAAAACTGTTTTCATTAAATAAAATATCATGCTAAAATGTTAATACAAACTGTTCAATTAAGGAAGTACACAAGGGGAAAAGTATGAAAATATTAATTAAAATTCAACATTTTCTTAAAAATTGTTTTGGCTCTCATTTATGATATTAAGACAAGAAATGAAGTGAAGGCTAATGGAATATTCAGGATTCTTTTATTAAAGCAAAATGGACTTTAACTACATCTTTCTGATAAGATGAAGCCTGGCATATTTATTTCAAATGAAATAAGCTGAATATTAGATTTCGAAATAAGTTCAGGCAAATATTTGGGAGTGAGATAAATCAGCTCTATTGGTTTAGCTTTTTAGGGATTGTTGTCTAATCGAATAATAACAAAGCATTAGAAGTTAATAGCCAACAGTTAATAATTCAAGTTTCCACTGAGACATATAAGCGCAAATGACCTCTGTCATCTAAATGTCTATATTTCTTACACTCGTCCTCTTAAAGTAAAGTTTTTCGTTTGTCAATGCTGTAAAATGCTCAATCCTTTAGGGCGATGTAGAAAATTCACTCAAAAAATTTCTGAACTATGAATTGAATGCATTTGAAATGGATGGACAAACTTGAATGACTGTTTCTATCCGTGTGAGCTTACCCTCTAACGATTATTTAAAGTATTTAACTGAAAGTTAAAATTCATGAGATGAACAGTTAATGTTCCCATAATAAAATACTATGGTTAAATGCTTCAAAAATGCCGATAACTGCTTCGAAAATGAAAATTATCGTTCTTAGTGACATTTTATTGCTCGCTGTTTTAAGGGATATCAGTAACTGCGATGAAAATATGAGTAATATAAAATATCATATTATTAAGTAAGAACTTAAGCCAAAATGTAAAGTTATTCCATATCGTTGAAATTTCTGCACAAAAAAAATATATCTCTAACAAAATGTACTAAAACTATGATAAAGTTGGCTAATGAAATGGATAAGATTATTATTATTATTAACATTATATTACTGCATATGAATGTAATCAAGCAAAGAGGTTCAATCAAATAGATAGGAAGGAATCTCCCTTCCATAAGTCAAATTAGACGCTTAGAATCTCTAATTAAGCTTATTTCTTAGTTGAGTTTACTTCTTATAGACATTAGCTGAATGGATTGAACACAAAGCTACAACTATTTGATAAAATTATCAGAGAATTTATATACACAGTGAAATAAGGGATAAATGGGACAGAGAAGTGTAGATATATTCCCATACATATATTATGTATCATTGCTTGTCTCTTGGCAACGAGACTGGATAGGAAGAACGCATTGTGGCCAATTTGGCTGAGGAGCAGAGAAGAAGAACATGAGCTATTTGAAATCTTAATTTAAATTCAGTTCAAAAGTCTGGTATTTCTTTCATTCTTTTTTCTCCCTTATTTTCATCATCCCATCCATTTTTGATTCTTTTGTTATGAGAGGAAAATAAGAATGAGTAGCAGAATAAAATTTAACTGGTAAACTTTTAACCATTTAAATTTCAACTTTTTCGTTCATTTTCACTGTTGAACATGGAATAATTCATATGCCATGGAGTTCAGTATGGAAATTCTTGAATAGGACAGATTGATTTGTTGAGTGTAGTATATTTCCATGGGTAATGTCACATCGGTCATATTAGTCCTAATCATCCTATCAATAACAATGAATGAATGTGCCCAAAAGTTTTCAACTTTTTACTGCTTTAGAAGGTTCCATTCTTGTTGATAAATTAGATATTGTCAACAATGATAACAATCTAAATAATCGTCTTGGTAAAACGCAACAGTCTATAATTAAATCATTTCCAATTGCGATATTCGAAAAATTAACTGAATAAATGATTAATGTAAAATAATCAAAGTGTCACTACAGTAGAGGGGAATGTGATGAGTTTAGAATAAAGAGAATAAGTAAGAAAGAATCAAATATGTGAATCCAATTTGAACATTCAGCTCAATCCCTGCTAACCGGTTATCTTGTATCCTCTCTCTATAGATCTGTTAACCAACATCAAAGACTTCAGGGAAGCTATTGGTGTTGAATTCATCTTCGAGAAGTGCCTTCATCTTCCAAAAAAATCAAAAAATCGTAATAAATTCGAACTTCTGTTTTCCGTAGGCTTTTTTTTTCTAAAACGGATTTAAGGTTGAGAAATTTGTTGAAAATAGTCATTCAGTGTGAGAGGAACAAATGCTAAATTTCGTTTTTAAAAGCTTATATTCCTGCAATTAATCAATCAGTATTTGTCGGGAAATTTTTCGAATTTCGTGTTGAAATGGTATGAAATGACATATTACGGAATAGATAAGCTGTCATCATCTCATTTAGTATAAGCAATAGTTCTTTGGACCGTTTCATTTTAGTCAGTCAACAACACAAAAGCAATGAGTTAATTAGTGTCTCTGGAAAGTTCTCGAATCACCAAAAGCAAAAAAGTATTGGAGGATGTAAGATTTTAACCAAATGGAAGTAATCCCCGCTCAATCAATAATAAGAGCGATGGAAAAAGGACGAAGATAGGAAATCACAGCAAGCAACAAACAACTATATGACATGATTTGAAATTCGTCTTTTTGACATTGAACATTTCAACCGTTTGCTCTTGCCTTTGCCATCGAGTGATGATGACGTGAGAAAAAAAAAAGCCGATAATTGTCACTCAATCTTTCATCAGTTGTGACATTTTCTTCCAAAAATGCAAAATACTTTCCCGTGGAATAACTAAGTTCCATTTTCTTTTTTCTGATATGAATGTTTGCAATGCAATTTTATTAAATTTTTTTTTCAACATTCCACTGTTCTCCTTCTCTCTAAATACACACATTCTACAGGTAAATTTGGTATTTCTCAGACTGCGTCAATCTCGGGATGAGGTCACTGTTCACAATGTAAAATCCATCTGTAAACGTACTTTTAATAAATAACAAATGAAACGATGGAATCTATCGTAAAAACGGTACAAAGAAAGGAAACACGTTGATACGAATACGGATACATAAACACGTTCAGCGACATGTCACCAGCAACTATCAAAAGGTTTCTGAATCACATGTATTCAACGGATCATTTCATTTGTTTGTCCTTAATTTTACATATCTTTGGAGATTTTTTTTTAGAAAAGGTAATGACACTTTGTTGTCATTGCTATCTTACGTGTGGAACGTAAATAATGATAAGAAACAGTTATAGTGTTAAGGTATAGCTATAATCAAAATGGGTTAATTAGAGTGATAATGAGACAAATTAGGAATAATGACAACATACTCAGTTCTAATGGCAGTAAATCACTAACCGATTTTAGTGCCAAAAAAAGAACAGGAAAAATGAAGATAATATGAGTGTCGCAGATTCGTCTGAAACTGTTAACTAACTGAATTAATTAGCAGTAAAACCATAAAGCAGCGATATATTTGTTAAGATAATTAGTGTATGATAAAATCCTCTATAAGATCAACCAGAATGAAGATATATGTAATTAACTGGATAGCTCGCAAAATTGCTAATTGAATCTCTAAAAATTTGGTTCTGAACTATATATTTTAAACAAGCGGAAGTTTTGACTTGAAGCTGAAACTTCCAATGAAATGCTTACCAACTACAAGTGTTCGAGAAGAAGATGACACAAAACCAATGACATTTTTATTTTTCAATAATATTAGAATATAATTTATTTCACAATGAAAAATTCCAAGCCAATGAAAGCGTTCTGCTCCAAATTTGAAATAAATAAATTTGTTTTAAGTTCAAAATTTGTTTTCAATACGACTTTCAGAAATTTTGAGATAAATATTCTAGCAATAATGCATTTTACGCACCTTCACTGAGATAGGATATCAAAAAAAAAAAAAAGCGAAAGCAAATAAAATAGAAATTGTCACCTCTGAGTAGTAAGACAACTGAGTGGCTCAAAAATTTCAGGTAACAGTGAAATGGGACAACCCCGTTCTGTGTGATTCTTCATAAAGTACGATTGATGGAAAGGAGCACATATCTTTACGAATAAATGACTTCATTCTCCATCTCACTTTACTGTTTCATTTTGAAATCACAACATTCAAAGTAGATCATTTTTTACTTCAACAAAATGATTAAAATGTTTTCAATTTCAACTACGGTTAGTTTGAAATTTGAAAAATTACACGTTAACAAGCTTTTCTCTCTTCTCCCAAATATATTTTAACTTCGAAAGGAATAATTAAGCGCACTTAGAGGAGAGAAACTTTTAAACTACGGCCGTAAATTGAATTGTAATCTTTGCTTAGACAAATGACGCTATATTACGGGGAAAGGATGTGATGGAATAAAACTTTGGCATATTAATGAAATCACTGATTGTTATTTTCTGGAATTTCCGAAGAATTCAGGAAAGAAGATATGAAATAAAATAAAATAAAAAAAAACGAAAAATTTCCTGAAATTAGAACTTTCTTCAACAAAAAGTATTTATGTAAAATACAATTAAAATTAAAAAATTATAAAATATTCAACCGAAAAAATATGTATACAATACAAGCAAATAGATAAAAATCGGTTAGAGTTAATTCATCCCAAATAAATGAGTGAAATGGTACAGGATGATGAAACTGAAGAACTTACTGTCAACATTGCATGACATGACAACCATTCGAAGGAAACCATTCACATCTTAATTAGCTAATAGAACAAAACTGACAGCAGTCATTTGCTATTATTGAATTCTGTTTACTTCCAACTAGATAATAGCGCCTTTTTTCGTATGTCAAATCTTCCCCACAAACATGTCAACTATATAATTTTACATTTTGTCTTGTAGCATCAGTGGAGGTGAATTAATTGCTGTAAACAATAACACAACAATGAATGAAGAGGCGCAGTTATGCTTAGGATTATTGGATCATTTCATTATGGATATTTGAGCTGAATTGAAAATATTGGCTCAAAAGATGGAAGAGTCTAATGAAAGAATGGAATGTTCTTGCTAAAGCTTCTGCTATTGCATTCTAATAAAAGGATAGCGTTTTTTTGTTTTTCCTTTTCCTTTTCTTTTTTTTTTAAGTGTAAAAAACTAAGAAAACAAAACGAAAAATCATTTGATCAGCGAATTTATGAAGGGCGCTTTTGCCAGAAAGAATTTACGAATGACATATGACAGTCTCTTACTTTTAATGATTCAAAATGTTTTGGTTTGAAATTCTTTCCATTTCTAGCAGTACTTTAATAATTACAAGTAATGCTTTGAAGTTTTACTTAAGTTTATTTCAAGAAAGAAAAGAGAAAGTTGGACGATTTAATTAGGCGTACAATTAACTGCTAAAGAGAAAATAATATAATTTGGAACAGTGTGTTGGTTTGAAAAATTCAACGATGGAAGAAAAAGAGAGAGAGGGAAACAACTGGAAATAATTCTTACTCTGTAAAAATGCACTTTGATTCGAACTTCACTCACTTTTCTTTTACACTTACACATATTAACATTAGTGATCAAGTAAGACTTTCTGTTATTTCAATGGAAAAAGAAGACTGAATTTAAATCTGACAATAAAAAGCAAACAAAAAAGTGGAAATAGTCTGGTGGACAAAAAATACTTATCAGTGAACAAGGAAAGGATTAGACCAACATGTGGTCACTTCACATTCACTTGTTATTGCAAAAGCAGATATAGACTAAACATATTATTTCAGAGTATTGCCAAAGGATGATTGGTACAAAATGATTGAGGAAGGGACGAAAATATTGTCATTTATTAGTTTTAGTCATCGTTGATTTATATCGATTTAACTGGTCACTAATGATCATATTATGACTGAAAGGCTTCTTCTTTTCGTCTATTAGCAATAGAGTCTGATACTTCTTTTGACCTTCCAATCTATCATTCTTCAAATCTGCGCCAAACACATTCAAAGAAATGTAATACGAAATAAGTTGATGTTAACTATGCGAAAGAAATCGCATAATTTATTTCTTCTAACGGTGAAATGGCTTAGGTTAACAAATTAAATGTATTTATTGGGAAGTTTACCTTTTTACTTGCTACTTGTTCCTTGAGCTTCGGTTCAATGCTATTAGTCCAACATTAATATTATGTCTCCTACACTACTACACGATTTGACGATTCACGTGCCTCGTATTATTCCTTTTTAATCAGCGATCTTGCTGTGTTCATTTCCTTTAAATTGAATTGCAAAATCCTGATTTGATCAAGATTTTATTCGTTTCTTTATATATATATATATATTTTTTTTTTTTTTTGAACAAATAAAATAAGATCTGACATTTCACATTTTTTATTTTATTATATATCTTCAAATTCAATTACATGTTATTGTGTGCTCAATTTCTTTGCTCATTTTGACCCCAAATTAAGAATTTTTAAACGAAACGTATAGTTCAACTTCACTAAGAATTATCGTAATATCATTTATTGTGTATTTTATACGTGTTTTTTTTTTAAGATATCATATGGAAATTTTAAAGTTTATTAATAAATTTCACGTGCAGCGTCATTTATTCGATTTCAGAACTCTGGAAAATGTCAGGTTATAAATGAAGTTTGAGTTGATTTTCCGAAATTTTACGACTCTTTTTTTAAACTGATCATAACGGCGAAATGTTGTGAAGAAATTTTATAACAGAAATTAGTACAGTGTCGATGGTTGAATGGATTACTCCTCACTCACAGAAAAGTTACGTTGTACAAAATTAAATTCAGAAAGTCAAGAAAATGGGTGAATGAGATCATTGAGCATACAAATGAATACGATTAACCAAGAAATTTATGCAAAAATCCTTGAGCAAATTCACCACCGATAATACTATTCACTTGATTAAGTACTTGCATTGGATTCTGAAATAAAAAATATATATATATATATATATATATATAATAAAAGAGGTCCTTCATTCACCTTTATAGATTAGATATTTTGTTGGAATAATATGCCAAAGGACTAAAAATAAACAGGATTACTGTATACCTGATCAATGACACCCGAAAATTCTTCACACCGTTGAATTGCCCTTTGCATTTCCATGCCGACTTGTAGCGATCCTAAGATATCACATTCGCTGATCACCTTCCTCAGCTGACCACAGTGTTGTCGTTCCGCACCCCGTTTACATGTCTCCTTCCTGGAAATCATCAAAATCCCAATTTTAACACACTCATCATTTCATATCGTGAAATTAATAGAAAGAAAACTGCATAGCTTTAGACAAGCATAATTATCCCCTTATATAATTGCAGCGAATAAACTGACTTCATTTTAAACTTCCACACTTCATAAACAACCATGTCATCAGTCAACAAATGGACAGGACTCTCTTCGACACGTTGTAAACACGTACCAAAAAGCAACCAACCAGGAACGTTAACTGATCTATATCAGGATTCACTTAACGCGTTAGTCTTTTCTATCAGTCTGAGAGAATTAGATGCTTGTGCAGTTATTAACATATATCTGCACACTCACGTAGCTCCGATGAAATCAACTTTACCACCGAAAAGAGCGTTGGTAATTTGACTACCCCAAAGGTCCCACGCCTTTTCATCTGCTACTTTTACGCAGTTCCCGTATGCTATTCTCATGAATTCGCTCAGAAATGGTAGACATCCTGGAAAGAAATATGTGATGACGAGAGCTTTCGATCAAACCTGTTTATGAACATATAATAAATCTCTTTGATTTTTGATCCGAAAGATTGATTTCACCGCTCAAAACGTTTTTAAAAAGTACCAAGAGCATCAATTAAAAGGGAAAATTTCCGTTAGAAACATTAATTAAGAATCAAAGATCTAAGGTTGGTTGCCAAACAATTAAAGCAATCAAGGTTGCATTAATTTAGTGAAATAAAATAAAGTGTTCAGAATAAACAAGCATTTAATGGAGCATTATGTCTTCAACAAATAAGAAATTTGAAGGTGACTATTGTTTCAAAATGATAATTTACAAAGAATTAAGAATTTAATATTGAGCGTTGACAAACCTTCACCCTTCGGTATGCCAAAATTGTCATTTGCACCAGGTGTTAATTCTCGAATTGTCGGTAACCAGTTGATATCTGGATCTTTCGTGTACGTTTGTGTTTTCGCTCCAAGAACTGTCGATGATTTACCAGATCTTGGAGATCCTAAAAATGCTCCCGCAATGTCCATCAGTGATTTGGCGCCACCACTCGACCTAACATTATATGTGTCTCTTTGTTGCTGCCCTGATATTAGGCCACGATTTTCAATCGCAGAAACTCCAGCAAGTTTGGTAATAGCTGGTGAAATAGCATTTGTAACAGACTGGCCAATCATTTCAGATGGTCGAGAATTAAGCGATACAGGTCTTGGTTCGGGATGACCAGGCCTTGTTCTAAAATAGCAGTTATTTGTGCTTTGCCAAGGAAAAATATATTTCTCATAAGTTTTTAGACTGCAATAGCCCGTCTTTTTATTTCTCTCTTTCTCTCTCCCTCCATCGTTTCAGCCGAAATTGTTGAGGCCAAATCTAACAATGAATTTAAAAAAGCAACCATTTAGAGATATTTAAGAATAAAGTGATAAGAAGGAAATCATACAGTGCATCTAGATTAGCTGCAACGGAATGTTTGGCAGCGGAAGCAACAATTTCAGTGGCCATTTGTGTCAACCGTTCAATGTTATCATTGGACAGGAAGTTCAAGAATAGATTACCACTGCTGCTCTGCAAAAAAGCTTGCTTGTATGTCATTTGTGATAAGCGAAATCAGCGTATGGATGGCAAGCAACCGTGATGCAAAATGCAAAATGCAAAATGCAAAAATGTCTCTTGTTTCTCTTACAGAGTTATCGCCGGTGCTTTCCAGGAATCAAATGGTGCAGGAATAAATTTTACTTGAATATTAATTATTTATTATCTAATTGAACATTATTTATCTAAGGTACGTGGTAAACAGACTCGTTGGTCTGCAGTAAGTTTGACTGGAATTCATTTACGTGCCTAAATTCCACTAAAGCATTCTTATTTCTGTCGACGGATTGCGGAATTCCCGATCGGGACGTGATGTACCAATCCACTTCTCAGTTAACTGATGTCTCGAACAACGACTGAATCCACGGAATCTTTCCACGAATGGATTTGATTACGATATTCAGCTTAGATTGACTTTAACTTAGGTGGAAGTGTTTGGAAATGCCTCAAACCAGTTTCAGAAAGAAATTATAGTAGTGTGAAAATTTTTTATGCGGTAATATGTGAAAGTGAAAGGAAGAAGGATGGGATGGGATGGGGAGAAGTAGAAAGGAGATTGAATAACACAATATAATATCAAGAAATATAACCTGGGCATTGGAAGGTCTGAGCGCAACTGACATGAAGAAGAGAAGGGTGGTGACGAATGATGGCGGCATTCCAGAGACTTCAATAACCAGCCAAAATGGTTTTCGCTTGCGGATTGGAGGACGGATTTTGGAAAAGATTTGAAAGAACGTAGGGGGTTGGCGCTTAACAGAGCAATACCGGATTGTTGCCCTGAGTGATGAACCGTAGTGATGGAACGTTTCATGTATTTTTCCATCTGGACATTATGATTAACTCAGAATATGATTTCGAACACATCCTAATGAAATCTTTCCAAATTTGAACACTCGTCGAAGGTGGGATTGCTGGATTGTCAAAAATGGCTGATAGGATAGAAAGGGAGTTGAATGGGCGGATGAGAGAATTAAAGTGTGACAATCAGCAACTCCAATTTAATTTTTTTTTGGGAAAAAACAACAGGGTTCGGGTCATGGGGTCGTACACACATACACATACATAGCGAATTACTTTGATTGACTGAGTAATGAATGACCAGTTCCGAGTAGGATCATACCTTTCTTTCGTCTTTGTAAATCCTTTCCTTCACTTCGCCTTAATTTTAACAAACTATTTATGCAATTACTAATCTGTCATTTCATTCAGTGAAAGTTAATTATCAAAAGCATATTATCGATTGCCTAATTTGTGAGTTAATAGACGGGGAAATATGCAGGAGCTTTGCACGTAATTTTTTTGGGGGGGAAATGAAACATAGGATTATGGTAGCGCATACACATATATAGATACACATATATATACGTAGACACAGACGAACACACACTCACACACGGACACAGACACACATTCACACCCACACATACACAGCGCAGCAAATTAAGGTTTGACAGGTGCTGTGGGGAACATGTCGAGGATACTCATCATTAAATAACCAACCGAATTGAACCGATGATGGACGATTCGTTGTTTTCATTTTATAATTTCAATTACTCCTGTTAACATCTCCATGCTCTTCATCCCCACAAGCAAACGTAGCAGAAGATTGTTCAGTAATCGTGACCCATTCAGCTGTCCTCAACCCATAACATAGTAAATCATTTTATGTTCAAATCCAACTACCTTCACTGTTTGAGTTTATTTGAAAGATAAAATAATGCCGCATATACGATGATAATGATGAATAATAGTAATAATAATAAATATGTCGGTTAGTCTTCGAGGATTTTATATCAGGGGCTGATCAGGTAAATCCGGTGTAAATTCGCTTTTCATCACAAGAAAATGAGATAAAGAATTTCAAATAATATATTCCCTACAAACTGCCCAGAATCATTGCTTTCCTGATCCTTTCCATCGACAATATTGAAACCAATTTTCCGAAATAGACTAAAAAGTTTGTTATCTATTAATCTCAAACAGCTTATTAGCTAGTTAGCGTAGCTGCTATGTTTTTTATGTTATGAATCGCAAAGGAATCATGCGAAAATTCGCGTATCATACGGAATATGGGAGTGCAACATTAATGGGGCAGACGAGTTACTAAGCTAGTTTATCTTCATTTGCTAATGAGGAGCTCTCAGACTGAATGGATATACGAGTAGAGTAGAGAATCGACACTACAACAAATTAGAGCACGAGCATAAGATGTGATAGAGTAGGGTAGCTAGGTTGGGAAGACTGCTCTCCAATTGAAAACTAATTATCTGGCGGTAAAGAGGTTATGATGTCTCGCTGCCATCAATGAGTCTAAATTGGATCGATCCGTGCAGAAATATTGGGCAGATCGCTTGTATGACAGATTTGCTTTACAAACCCATCTATATACCTCTTTCAAATCTATATGACATTTTGTTGGCATGACTTTTGATCCTTCAATAATAATGGATAGATATCATGTGCTTCTGTTGTGGAATACTTGCAACTCTTCATTTCATTTTGATATTCAGTCATGAGTAAGAACAGAGAGAAGGACGAAGCTTGTGGACAACGAAAAAACTCTTTCCCGGCTAGATTGGCTCTCCCAACTTTCGAAATAGGTATCTTTCATTTCATCAAATAACATTCATTTGTCCATTATTGAAATTTCTCATCCCAGCACATTTTTCACTTCTTTTTTGACGGAATGAATTATACATTCCACGAAATTTATGCATATGTTGCTGTAATTGTGATGAGAACAAACTGCACAAAAGATGAGATAAAGCGTCTGATTTTCGATTTCACTTCCTGTGGATTCTATTTTTTTGTTAACGAACCATTTCTGAATACTTTACTTGTCAGTGTGTTTTGCTCTTTTGGAGTATACATTGCGGTATAAAAATGTTATGTAGGATTTGACTGAGTTGCTACTAGTTTCATTCTTTCAGGAGGTGCTGTTTTCAGGAAATTTATCACAACCACAAATGCATCGAGAATTAAGAAATCTCAGATTTATCAATCCTGGGGAGGCAGCTGTAATCTCCACAAAAGAAGCTTTGTACAATAAACAGGGCGTTCGTAGATCTACAAGGCATCGGAAAGGTACGCTTCATCATTTTTGGCAGGTTATTTTCCACTACGTATTTCTCAAAGCGTCCCATTACATTATATTTTTTTCGAATTTTACACCCAGTTGTTTCTTTATTAAAAGTTACTTCCTCCTTTCTTCATTATTGATTTTCTAATATGGAATTTCATGCCGCTTGAAGTTGGTCTAAAAATTTCATCATTACTGAAAGTATTTCTACTTTAATTTCAGCAGTAACATCTGTCGATCGCACGACGGATTACATTCCCCATCATGACGAAGAAGGCTATTATGTCAGGGCCGATGGTCATTGTGTTAAGTTATGCGATTGTTTGCGGACGACTTGTCCTGGTGAATGAGTATCCTCAAAGTTTTTCAATTTAAAATCCTAAATTTTAAATTTTAAATTTAAAAATTTAAAATTTAAAATTATTTTATGCTTGGATTAAATTAGAAGCGGAAGTAGGGAAATAACGACTTCTTCACCGCTTCAAGTCGTCTTTGAAAACTAAAAAAGGGGTGGTGAGTAATACTGTTTTTATTAACATCAGATGTCTTTTAGCGACTTTCATGGAAAGTGCAGCCGTTCATCCAAAATTTACATTTCTAGGTGTGCATGTTTAGGCTGTCATTATCCATGTGGAAAGTGTGGTTCACGCATGTGTGGGCCAGCTTGTCAGAAGAATCGAGATTACATTATTGAAAGCTTTTTTACTGAGTCTGAACCACCTCGGATTCGTAAACATCCTTATTATAGTCCTCTGAAGCGTGAAAGCTAAAGAAGCATCAAGTGAAAAACTGTTTGTATTTTGCATGGAAAGATTTTGTTGGTACTGTTTCCATGTGATTTTATGGAAATTAGTTTTTAATGCTATAGAATGGATCAAATTGGCTTTATATATTTACAAAGCTATTTTCTTTTAATCTTATTGTTAATCAGTTTCCGACACAGGTAAATTTTCATCAACTTTTGTCCAGTGCAAAAATTGCTGTTTCAGATTGTTGTGCTGCTGTAAAATTTGAGACGTTTTCCTTCAGTCAGAGTTCAGGGAAGCATTTTGTAAAGTGCTTAATAAGTCGACAGCCATTTTCGAGTTTATTTGTTCTAATGCAATTGTACTGCTGGTTCATGAAATATTACACTTTTGGTAATTAGTGCCGGTTTTCTAGACACTGTTGAGAAGAAATCGATTTCGAAACCTTAAAAAGTCGTAGAATATTAAATTTGTCACTGACTGTTTAGGTTTCAACTATCTCTTCAATTTTACACGTGCGATTTGAATTTTGCTGTGATACTGTTTTGTGAGATATTTCCATGAAAACTGCAAACTACTATTTCATCAGGCGTAGTAATAACCGGTATTAAAATGTCAGTGCCTACAATTGGCTGTACGTTTTTTTTTCGTTTCTTGGTTAGTGGCCTATGGCTTGCTCCCTTTAAATGACAGCTTGTCATGTGAAATGTTTAATTCACATTTCAGAGCATCGTGCTATGCTTTCCATATGTTTTAAAAATTTTTTGTGGGAGAAGGTTATTCAGTAAGAAAATGGCCATTAAAATGAGTTTTTGTTCAAGTTCAATGAAGATTGGAAATAAACACTTGGATTTACCTCAGTAAAATTTTCATTCCGTGATGGGTACATAATAATATACTTATTTCAATTCATTTTTAAAACTTTGTAGTAAGAAGTGGCTCACAATAACGTAGGAAGATCACCCGTGTATTTTATGGATATTGCATACATATTCAAACATGTTTGAACATTTTATTGTGTAAGTGCACTTTTCAAGTATAGTATAATTTCAAGTATATTCCCCTTACTTTTTATAAACTTGAAAACCGTGAACGCGTACTTCCCTATTAATTATTACATCGAGTAAAACAAATTCCTGAATGACTTTTAAATTTATTAAAACTAGCGGAATTATTCTATATACCGCAATTCATACGTTTATGATTATTTTGATTTCACTTTTTTCTTCTCTGCATTGTGTTCTTTTTTGTCGTTGTTTTGTTCTGAATTTCAGTTTCAGACAGAAGAGAATAAATCTTTTCTCTTTTTTCCATACATTTATGATAGTTTTTTTTTTCATATGTTTATGATAATCTTGAAAACCCTAATTTTGGTTTGTAGAATGTAGAATTCTAAGTGTGATGCAAAAAGAAAAGGTGTGGACTTTATTACACTGATTCAGATTTGATGCTTGGTAAAAGGTTTTTAGAAACCGTAACTAAAACATAATTTAGGAGGTGGCACATTCTTTTTGTATGTGATATATCAGAAAATGATGGAATTTTCTTTCTGGAAAACTTTGTTTAATCTAGCAAACTACATTTCTTGGGAATTGGTATTGACTGGCGCAATCCTCCAAAGTTATCGTAGTTTCGTTTCTGTCTCCATATATGAATACACTGATTCCAGATTTGATGCTTGCTAAAAGGTTTTAAATTTTGAAAAAATGCTAGGATGTCTTAGTATGAAAAAAAAAAACTTAGAATGGTTTCTTAAGAAAAAATACTTTGTCTTATGTTTTCAAACGTTTCCGAAATTTGCAAGATTCACAGGAATTGTTATATTCTTCTTGGAAGCAATTCATGTTACGATTTTGCAGTCATTTATGGAGAATGCTTGTTATACCTTGCGCCGTTCATTACGAGAAATATTTTTTTTGAAGGTGGCTGTTTTTGTTTTAGGAAAAATCATCCAGAATGTTAAAGGAGCATGAGAAAGCTCCCGTGACAGTGTTACTGGGAGCTCAGTGGGGTGATGAAGGTAAAGGAAAAATTGTCGATTATCTGATTGCGAAAGATGAGGTGAATTTTCCATTGAATGAATATTGAAGAGGATTATATGGATTTGTTGAGCACTGACATCGTATGATTTTTTAAAAAGTTGGGGCGCGAATCGGTAATGTGCAAACTCATGCACCTTTGACAACCACTTCGTGATTGTGAAAGTTTTTCTGCACATCCCTTTTCTTTTACTATTTCTCTTATTGTACTATGCTAGTTTGAACAAATTACGGTTGAAAAATTGCAGGTGCAAGTTGTTGCACGCTGTCAAGGTGGCAACAATGCGGGTCACACTGTTGTTGCTAATGGACGAAAATATGACTTTCATATTATACCGTCAGGAATCATCACTGAAAAGTGTTTCAACATAATTGGTAAGATTTTGATTTTAAGCTGCTATCACCAACGGAAATCGTGAACTATTTAATGCGATACTTCTACATTCCAAAACAAGGTGACATATGCGCACTTCAGACTTAGTCTTAGTTGCATTTTTCCTGTTTATTCGGTATTTTAAGTCTGATTTTCAGGTAATGGCACGGTAGTAAATTTAGAGTCGTTTTTTGAAGAACTAAACCATAATAAAATTACTAGCATACCCGGATGGGAAAAGCGAATACTGATTAGTGATCGAGCACATCTTGTATGTGGTATCCATATGCTCGTTGATGGTCATTCAGAAGATCGACTGAATATTAAGTAAGTTTTTTTCATATGTTAAAATTCAGTGTCTACAAGTTGTGTGTTAATTGATTTCAAACAGTTCTCCATTTTTTTAGCTCTTGTTTTCCTACCGATTTTTTCATTGCTATAAGCACAAAATTATGATTTTTTTCAGTAAAATTGGGACGACGAAGAGGGGTATTGGACCTACATATTCTAGCAAATGTTTCAGAAATGGCCTCCGAGTTGGCGATTTAGTTTACGATTTTGATGGATTTACATTAAAGTATCATATTTGTGGGACTGCGTTTTCTTTATCTTAATTATTCATTTTGCCTTACATAGGTTGGAATGCGAAGTTTTAATTGAGGAATTGAATTTTTAGATTTCGAGAGCTTGTTAAACATTATCAAAGGCAGTATCCTGATTTGGAGGTTGACATCGATCTGGAATTGACAAAATTCAAGGTAAACTCCATTCATTTCTGTTTAAATTAACAAAACCAGTTGATATGGATAGAAATCGGGTGACTTATTTTTCTCTTGAAATTCTTTCGTAGAAACACGCGAATAAATTGAATGATCTGGCACTGGTTGGTGATACAGTAGTGACACTGGATGAATTACGGAGCAGCGGCAAAGCTGTACTTGTTGAAGGTGCAAATGGTACAATGTTGGATATCGATTTCGGTAACTGTTTTGACATTTCGTGTACAAATTTGCATATAGTAATATTTCAGGTAGCCATTAACTCTTAAGAAAGGGTTTATAGACAAGATCAGAAGTGTAGAAAGCTTAATCATTAATCTGAGTTGCAGTCTTCATTTTTAATATTTGCAGGGACTTATCCATTCGTAACATCATCTAATGCAACAATTGGAGGTGCCATTACCGGTTTGGGGCTTCCGCCAATGTCGATCAAGAGAGTAGTAGGCGTTACAAAAGCATACTCCACTAGAGTTGGCTCTGGACCGTTTCCTACAGAACTGAAAAATGACATCGGCGACAAACTACAACGAATAGGACACGAAGTACAGTCATTATTCATTATTTAATAATTTTCTCAGTCTTTCAGCTGAAAAATCTTTAATACCTATGGTCCTTCATCCAGCTATATAACTGGTGATCAAAACATTCAATCCACTATTAGTTAGACCTATTAATAGTGCAGACTGTCTTTGAATGTTAATGTATGTATTAATGTGTATTGTTATATTATCATGGTTTAAGCTTCTAAAAGATGTTCGGGTCAGATTTTCTGGAAAATTGGAAGTTGTCGAAATTTGTACATTTGACGACAACCAGTAAAAAAATTGATTCATTTCTTTATTTGTTTTTGGTCTAATCTCTCAGTTTTAGGTTGGTGTTACGACAGGTCGTAAAAGACGGTGCGGTTGGATCGATTTAGTTCTTTTGAAGCGAGCACATCTCATTAATGGATTCACAGAGTATGTACCTCTGAAATTATTTGAGAAGTGTCATTTGAAAACTTTTATGTCTCTTAGGGTTATTTTTGATTTTAAGCATTGCTTTGACAAAGCTGGATGTTCTGGATACATTTGATGAAATCAAGGCAGGCATCGCTTACAAGCTAGATAAACAGCTGTTGAAATCTCCTCCACGTAAGTATTATTGTATGTGATTCTTGTCATGACTTTTTTGGACTGAATGTTTTCAGAAAACCATCTTATTAACAGTGTCATAAATGGTGCACAAGGTTGACCGCCAGACTTCATTTCAGTCTTCGAAGTACTTTTTCGAACTTTCCAATGCACCATTAAGTTATCTTGCTTTTTAGCCACAATGACTATTAAGTCCTTTTAGCGCAAGCTTCCGACTGGGAGAAAGTGGAGGTCGAATATCGTACATTCAAAGGATGGAACACACCAATATTGGATATGCGGAGTTTTAATGAACTACCAGAAAACTGTCGAGTTTACATTGAATTTATTGAGCAGTATGTTGGAGTACCGGTAAGATGGATTGGTGTTGGTGAAGATCGAGAAGCATTGATTCTTCATGAATCCTGAAGAGTGGCGCATCAGCAGTTCATTGTCAGGGTCATGTCTCCGTCATTCTTGAAACAAATCTCGACCTCAATAATCTATATTTATAGCTGTCGAGATTCTGAATTATCAATGGTTGATTCCCCATTTGCATGCACTTGATGCGGTTATATCTTAGAATATTTGCTAACAGTGAATTATTTGAAATCGATGTCATCGTAAGGCTGCATAGCTATCACATGTCGTACCGTTATTTAAAACCCATTGTTATATTGTTCTTGTCATCTTCTGAAGTTTCAGATGTTGCATATGCATTATTCCCCATGTTGTCTCCTGTTATTCTCAAATGTAGCATGACTGAATACAAACTTTTATTTCGATCTTTTTCTTCTCAAATGATACTGTAGCATCAACTGCAATATTAACAGGAAATTGTGACAAAAAATTCGCCAGCAAGCCTTGCTATTATTGATTACAGTCAAATGTTTGTCGTTCGTCATCTGAGGGCACCCTACCTTGTTGTGCCATGCCTGCCTGCCTGCCTGTCTGCCTGCTTGCCTCTCTTATTGGCATCAAATGCCTTCTTGTTCTTTCCCCTCAGTGTGCTGTCATCCGTAATCAGTTCCCCCTATATGCCGCACTTTTATCACATGCCGTGATGAGGAGAGGTTGCACCAGGAAGCGGTGTTGCACCAGGAAGCAGTGTCAAATTGTTTATTTCCTCTTATCGATCGATTTATTGATTGGGTGGTTTGATGACAGAGCCGAGCAAGTACTGGTAGATAGCGTTAGATGAGCTCATCTTTGCCGTATGACGCCTCTTTGGCAGTGCGGTTCAGATATTTTGCTTCATTTCTTGTACGATTTATTTGATCAGCTCTACTACATTATATTCTTTTAACTGAGTCATCATCCTTTTACTGATGATCATCTGTTATTTCATCCTCTTACATTTCCTTTTTCTCATTTTCATGTTCAATATATCCCTTTGCATCCGATAAGGGGTTCAATATTATCACACTCATCATAACTGGCATAGTGTAGAATCACTTCCTCGGTTTCAGAAAATATATATGACTTTGCATATGCTTTTAGATGTCACAACTCAAATGGATACATTATGTGCAGTTGTTCACGTTTCAGTACTTCTCCTTGCTTTGTACTTCACGGAAACTGTTTTCTCTTACATTCCTAGTATTTTATGTCAATTACATTTGCTTCAGCAAAATGGCCGCGAACAATATTGCTAACATAAAGTGGAATCACTTTGGCGTTTATCGACGATTCCAGTTACCTGTGGATGTTGTCGGTGACCTGTACCGATTGTTACTGGTTAAAATCAATACCGTAGTTCCTGACTTTATGGGCAAATTGGGATGGAAAGGTAATTTCAGACCTCAGGACTATCTCAGGTGTAGATTGATTAGCCCTGCATTTTACCTCCCAAAGTTCATGCTGCAAATTCCGTTTTCAATCTAATTTTAGTCTTTATTTATGTTTTGACATTGTTCTTGCTTCCACGTTAATGTTGGCTATTTTCTGTAGTTGGCGAGGTTACTTCTTGTTCCAGAAAATTTCGTGGATGTGATATTGAAAGAAGGAGATTCCTGTTCATTCTTCAGTAAATATGACATAGCAATAATTCTTCAGTTTGTTTAATTGCTTAATAAAAAATATTTCTAGACGAAGATGGTGACATAATATATTTTTCAACTGACGAGGAATTACGCAACGCACTTCAGATTGCCACAAACAATCAACTTCGCATTCAAACTATCGGTAAAAATTCCTTTCTTTTTTTCCCAGAATCTAAGCTGTTGGGACATTCCTTAGTGCATATTACAGACCACTAACTTTTATTTGTTACATATTACTTTTAGTTGAAGAATTATTGCTGCAAAAGTGAATTACTGATTTCCGGGTCGCGAATACATTTCCAGTCATCACAAAATCTGCTAGTATTACAGTTCTTTTTTTTTATTTTTGCGAGTAAATTCATAGTATTCGTTGTTTTGGCAGAAGATCTCTCGCAACGTGAAAAAGAAAAATCAAAAGACACGAAGAAAGAAAATAAGAAAATGGTTTGTTTTGTAATGTTTTATCAAGAATCAAAAGTGCTCATAAAAATCCCGGGTGGGAATAAAAATCCTAGTTAGTCGGATTGTCGATTACTGGTCCTGAGAACGATTGATACGGAGCGTATCAATCGCAGCGATTTTGCAGTGATAGAGTAGAAATGCTCAGTTTCAGGGACGAGGACAAGATTTTTGAATGCCTGTGTGTTTTGTTATCAACAAATCATTGTTAAATTCTCTTTTGGGGATCTGTGTTGAAAAGGATAAAAGATATCTTATGATGATAGTAACTTTTTCATTGCACAAGAGTTTTCTCATCGATTTGTAGAAATAAAAATTAGCACAGGTGATAAGGAAGATTTGAAGTAGACAAAAAATAAGAATTGCTTTGTTCCTTAATCATATCATTTGTTTTGTTCAGTTTATTGCCTTTTGCAGAAAGAAATCCATCCGTTTGTTACATGTAATCGTTGCGACCAGCCGCTTTATGGAATTCGTTATAAGTGTTGTGTTTGTGATGACTTCGACCTGTGCGAAGAATGTGAGAAAGAAGGAACACATCCAGATCATGCTTTGATTCGTTATGCTACACCGCGAACACCGGTAAGTAACACTTTTCAGATATGGATTTTTAGAGTGAGCTTATTGATTCGCATGCAGAAATTTGGTCCAAGAAATTAGACAGCAAAGAATACGCAAGCAAGTTCGTTCTAAATTAGAAGACTATGGCGTACTCCAGTGTCGCCCGTTTTAAGATTTTTGTACGAGTTATGTGTTGCATGAAGGACCAGTAACTCCTGATCTCTGTAGTAGAATTAGGAAACAAAGGTGGTAAAGTGGTAATTTTGAATATGTTCCTTGACCTCTTAATATTTTCCTTTGCAGAAGGTTGAAAATCTGCGTCCGAGACGCACCTGGCGACAAAACAGTCATACTTTTGGTCATCGCGATACGTTCTTCCAGGAAGGGATTTTTGGACGAACTGCTGCAGCTGCTGCTCACGCTAGTGCTGCAGCCAGTGCCGCAGCACAACATGCTGCAAGACATGCTGCAGCTGCTGCCACACATTTCGCTGATGTTTGTTTTTTATGAGTCAATAAATGGAATTGTTGCCACGGGAATGGACGAAATCTGCTAGTAAAATTGCACTGACTTATTTAAATGAGTGCATCAAGCCTATACTAGGTGATTCTCTTTTAGACATTACTTTAAACATATTTCTTAGCGTGACTGGTTGATTATGCGTAGGCGCATTTTTCTTCTAGTCGTATTCATAACTTCTATCACTTTCACATTTTTAGAATACCAAAGAGAATACAGATGGACTTCCACCACAGTTCCGGGAATCTGTGGCTCAAGGCATGGAATATCTGAAAGAAGTCGGCTCGCAGATTCAACAGGCACTTGCAAACTTTGGTATTTTTGTATTCATCTCATCCTTCCGAAGGGTTATGAATGTGGAAAAGAACATAGTTATTTCTTTGAAACCCCTACTTCACTAAAAGTTGTATCTTTACTGATTTTTTCGCTTCTTTTACCGTTATAGTAGGGAAGACCAGCAATACCGATTAGTTTTTTTTTTTTTTTTTTAGGGGTAGAAATGAGTGTTTGGTAGTAAGACAAACTTGATGCATTAATGATATAGAATGTAAGTTTCACTGGCTATAAGGCACGTCGGGACACTTGGAATTTTATGCAGTGACTTTAATAGGTTGTTGAAAGCGTCGAAAATCGGTTTAATACTGTCAAGAGTGTTAGATATAAAAATAAGCTGATTTATATCATGATTTCAGGAATTGAGGTTGACATGGACGTACAGCATGGTGGTGTTTCGGAGAAAATTCCCAAAACCCAAGGATCTACAACGAAAAATGCTGCAGGAAATAATACAGCCAATGATGAGAAGGAAGATGCACAAAAAACGGATGAAATAAACGTTTCGAAGATTGGTGAGCCGGATAGTGAGGACGGGAAACGGAAAAGTGATGGTCCAACTGCTCAGAACGTTGAAGCGGTGGGTGTGAAGTGTGGTTTTTGACAGTTTTTCGTAAAATTTGGTTCACCTCTTTCCTACGAAGCTGACTTTTTTTCAAATAGCTTCTATCTTGTATCAGTGTTAGTTTTCAGACACCTTTGTGACGTTTATTTATTTGTTCAAATGGCGGGAGCTTAATATTTTCAGGTTAATTGTATTTTGTTTCTGTTTCTAGATCGCGGACGAGCTAGACGTGCCACTGAAGAAGATGCATATCTCGGAGCATGAGGAGACAGAAAAATTAGAACAAAATTCGAAAGAACCAATGCTTGATGCTCTCGCTTCTTGCGATGATATTTCTGATGAATGGACGATGATGGACATCAGTAATCCAAGCAGCAAATGTCAATCAAGTATCAATTTCTCCATTACTTATATTGTAGCGTCACTGGTTATATAATATATCCTGAATGCACTACCACTCATTGTTTTCTTAGAAATGTAGAGGACATCCAGAGACCTAAATTTATGTATTTAAACAAGACCTCCAATGAATGCAATCATATGACTGTATTAGCAGCATTTTGGTTTGTCGCGATTTGCTTAGATATACAGAACAGTTATGCATGTTTTCAGGTGCACCACTTTATCCTGTTATTGCTAATGGAAAATGTATGGCTGGTACTCCGTTCATAGTTCCACAACCTGGACCACACAATCCACATTGTTATTTCATCTACCCAGGTCCCGTCCCTTCTTACTTCTCCAATGATGGTTGAAGAGCTAATTCATCATAGTCTCTAGCAGATATGTAAGGCGCAGTATTTTGAATTCATCTCAATTTTGCCTTTTTAAATCGCACCAGAGCTTTTCATAGTAAAAAATTTGCAGATGAGCATGTTGCACTCTGTGTAATACAGTTGGAAGGAATGGGTTTCGATAATTGTAATGGTTGGCTAACCAAACTTGCAGCGGACCTGAAAGGTGATGTTAGTGCCGTTATCGAGGATATGAAGAAGGATCCTGTTTATGCGAAGCATTTCGAAAACGATTTCTGAAAATACTTCATACTGAAAAATAACATGTATCTTACTCCGCTTATATCTTTTCTTGGTTTGTAAACATTATTTGCATTTTGTATGTTTTCCGAACTTTTCCGTTTTATTTTTGTATCTTCACGTCAGTCGTAGACTAATGTTCCATATTCGTCTTAGTAAACTGATTCAATTTGAGGCTGTTTTCAAGTGGCAATACTTCACCGTATATCCTTGAAAATTTGTTTTTAATACAAATTCGTTTTGCAGTCAACTATTGACTAGTGGGATCTATCTTCTCTCATACCATATTTTACTACTTCCTTTTCGGTGTATCGTGAAGCCTCTGTTTGCTGTGAATAAATGCTTTATAGAAAGAATTGCTATCTTAACACAGTACTTTCAAGGCTGTTCTTAAAATTGTGCTGAAATGTCGACAGACAGTGGAATTGAAATTAGTGCATGTTTATGGTACATGGCCATGCTTAGCTGTTTCAATGGAAGATTCGTAAGATTGTGTTCGTCGGACCAACGCAAAAGGATTCACGGATGCATTAACAAAATGTATAATCAGTGTAGGTGGACGGTTGGGTATGCGTTACTATGCGATTTGCGCTAAACTTCCATTATTATATGATTTATGTACTGTGCTCCCATTTCTATGGTTTACGACAGCAGTCAGTTTAGGCTTGTTTATGTACGTACTAGGCTTGTTCATATACGCTGTATGAGGGACATAGCCCTTTTCAGCCAAATTCATGGACATATAGTGAAATCAATCACTGTACCGTTTCTTTATCTCTCTACCTTTTCATTGTAGGGGAGGGACGATTAATTATAATGAGGAAATGGGATGTGAAATAGAACACGCTAAACGAGGGCCGTATTAAAATTGTCATTGTAGGGGAGGGACGATTAATTATAATGAGGAAATGGGATGTGAAATAGAACACGCTAAACGAGGGCCGTATTAAAATTGTCTTCCAATTTGTATGTCTAATGGTGTAAGCTTTGACTGGCTTTTTTTGACGTTGTTTTCGTTTACCTCTTTTTTGATTCTCCGGAGAATGCGTTATTATAGATTTTAAAAAATCTAAGTGATAGGACGATAAATACCATCAAGGGAGCAACACGTAAGTCGCGAAATCGTTCATTAAAAAATAGTTCATATAATTTCAGATTTCACTTTAATTTCTCTTCTGGCTATTTCATACTCTCTCAATGGGTGCACTTCTGGCAACACCCGGATGCATCTCATCGGTTCGTTTCACTTCATTTTCTAAGGCGAAATAATGTTGCTAATGCAGTTATTCATCTACTTATTTAGTAAATATAGAGGAAGTGCTCTGTCGCAGTGATAAATGCCACTGTTGCTATGCATCAAAGTATAATATATATTTAAGAATGACAAAAGTAGTAAGTGATCAACTAATATCGCATCTTGTTTGTTAGGAAAAACTGCCGAAAAAAAATTTCATCGGTGTGTTCTACCCTACTAATGCTTGAATTTTCAAAATAAATGTTAGTGCATTGGAAGTCATGGTTCTATTAACCATTCCATTTTTAATAAGTTGTCTACTGGTCCTTCGATTCTGCCGTTTTGGATTGACTATTGCAATGCCCTACGCAACATTTAGTATTGAACTGAGGTCGATATTCAGATTACTATATCAGCCATTGATAACTATGTTTACTTTGCAGTACTCTATTTTATATCAGACGTTACTTATAGCATTGTCTTGTTTCTTTTATTACTCTGCCTTTGCAGCTAGCATGTTGCTGCGGTAGTGCGGCATGCTCTTTGTGTTGCGCAGCATGTCCATCTACCCGAAGCTCACTGACTACCAGAGTAATGTATGCTGGAATGTTGTTAATCAGTACATTCATGGCTTGTCTGATGCTTGCACCTGGTATACAAGCTAAACTTGCTGATGTAAGATTACTTCAGTTAAATTTCTCGTTTCATATGGAGATTTATTGTCCTGACCCTTTTTTAACTGGACAAACGAGGCTGCCATTTCCAATCCTTTATTATTGTCATGCTTTTTAATTTTAGTCGAATTGGTTTTGTGAAGGTCTGTCCGGAATTGCTGGAATAAATTGTTCCCATGCTGTCGGTTTCCAGGCTGTTTACAGGTATGAATTTGGATTTTTTAATAATATTTGGTATTTCAGTACTTGAAGCATTATAGACGTTTCGAATAAAATTATAATAAGAGTAGTATGGTGAGAGTATGATATTCGGATGCAAAATTTAGTTCTAAGAGATAGGGTATTTGTCTAATTTGTAGACTTTGCGGAGCAGTGGTCATTTTCTTTTTCGCACTGATGATTCTAATGTTGGGGGTGAAATCATCCCATGACGTACGATCGAAAATTCAGAACGGCTTTTGGTTCTTCAAATACGTGATTGTTATTGGGATCACTGTCGGGTTGTTTTATGTCAGTTCGGAGAAAATTTCTTCACGTTAGTTTTTTCTTTTAGTTCCATTCTTTCGTATTTTTTTCTTTATTACTGATTTCCCTTACAACCCTCTTGACAGTAGCTAGAAGTTCATACGACACCGAAATCTGGTAGATCCTTCTTTCTCTCTTTGAAAATTGGGTTATTCTTCAGCTCTAATGTGGATTGGATTGATCGGTGGCTTTATTTTCATCCTTCTACAACTTATATTGATCGTCGATTTCGCTCATTCGCTTGCTGAAGGATGGATGGAAAAATATGAAGAGAATGAAAGTCGCACATGTTATTGTGGTAACTTTATCGTGCTTGCAGGATGTTTTTGAAATCATTTTCATAAGTTGCTTTATTTGTAATGCCTTATTCTGTATCTTCGTTCGAGCTTCTCATATGTGTTCAAGTCTGGTGAGCCATAGCATCCTAAAATAACGAAAGATTACCAAAGATGAGATCAACTCTAAACATGGTTGAAGGGAGCATGAAAAGCTGAATGAATTTTAAACCATTACTGAGGACAAATTTCCTAAAGGGTGCGAAAGAGGAAGAAAAGTAGTTGTATTTTGTTTTACTGAGAATTTTCAGAATTATCATTAGGGTAGCGTGTTCAGTACTACCACAGAATCACCTTTAAATTTTCGGCTTTTATATGTACTTTCTCAAAGTTAATTTTGCAGGATTGTTAATGTTCACCTCTCTGTCGTATACGTTAGCCGTCGGTGCTGTCGTGCTAATGTACCTGTTTTACACTGCGGCAAGTTTTGGGCTAATAAATCCCGTCCACATCAGTAAATTCTTTTTCACTAAAGGTTTTTACAATAAACAATCTTGCAAAAAAGGCATGCAACTGATGCCTTTTCTGCATCATCATCATCAGTTGCACGCCTTTTCTGCGGGATCGTTTACTGTAAAAATATGATTTAGAAGGAATAGGAATCTGTTGCAGGGAAATTCGTGTCACATGCCGAAGTTATTCATTTCTTTCAATGTCATTCTCTGTGTGCTAGTTTCTGCCTTATCAATCCTCCCACGTATACAGGAACGAATGCCTCGATCAGGCCTGTTGCAGTCATCGTTCATTACTCTCTACGTAATGTACGTCACATGGTCAGCACTGATCAATAATCCAGGTTTGTTCTTTTTTTTTTTATATAATCAAAGAGACTATCTAACCAATTTAAAAGAAAAGTGCTGAGAAACTTTATAGTTTTTCAGATAAAGAATGCAATCCTTCGTTGATTAATATTTTTACCAATCATACAACTCCTTATGGCCAGGTATTTTTAGCCTGAAAATTCACAATTTGAGTGCAAATTTTTTGTTTTTCTATCCACAAAAAAATTTTTCAACCATTGTCTGGTTATATCTTCTTATACATAATTCTCAGCTGTTATATCATCATTTACTATTGATTTGGGGAACCGTTGTTAATGTTAATGATTTTGTTTTCAGGATATTTATGGAACACCGTTGCCGGCTGAATCTATGATTTCCCTTCTGATTTGGTTCGTCTGTATACTCTACGCATCATTCCGGACCTCATCGAGTTTCAATAAAATTGCGGGTGGCTCACCACATGGAGTAGTGGATGATGCAGATAACGGTTCTCAGCAGCATATTATCACACCTATCGAAGGTCCACACTTCACCCTATCATAATAGTTCTTCATAGTTCATGCATAAAAACCAACAGGAAGAAGTGATAGTTCTGGAAATGATCATAATCCATGTATTTTGTTAGGAATTTTCAAAACCTGGAATTCGTGATAGGGCGAAGTTGCAGTGGACTTTGCACATTTCCTGCTTATATTTCTTGATTATCTTTCTCATCCAAATTGCCTCTGCTTTTTCCTTCTATATGCATGTTGCACAAACTTCTTATAATTTTTCTGGTCATGGGAATACGTTGTAGAATTGGTCTGTTACAATACCAAAAAAATAGATAACTGATTTTCGTTATTGGTTTTGAAATTCAGATTAACTTATATATTTCCCAGAACTTGGTTTTTGACATCTGTATCTTCATTTCCCGAAAGTAAGTTTTACGAAATAATTTCCAGTCTTTTGCCCATTTATGTGATTATTACTTTCATCTGCATGCGCAGTTTAATTTTTTCTAATTTGGGAAGAAAATACTTTGGAAGGGAAATTTTCAGATAATCTCGAACGCGGACGTATTTGGGATGACGAGTCAGATGCTGTTTCATATAGCTACTCATTTTTCCACTTTGTATTTGGGCTGGCTTCATTGTATGTAATGATGACTCTCACATGCTGGTACAAGTAAGTTGTTTCATAAGATTCAAAGAAGACTCTTTAGGAGTCTGCTAATTTAAATTAGTGGTTTCCAACCTTTCTTGAATAGGGACCACTTTGACTTTTTTGTTCGTAGCGTGGACTACCAGAGACTACCAAAAGTAAATTCTCTTAATTTGAAAATGCACTTTATTCAAAACTTTTATAATGTATTAATAATACATTATAATGTAAGGAAGTAACATCATAATGTGAAAAAAGAAGGAACATGATTTTTAATAACCCCCGGGGTCCAAATTTTAGTGCTTGCAGCACTTTAAACCCAACTGATCACACTTTCTTAACTTAAAAGTTGAGTCCCCACAGACTTTTTTAAAATACTAAAGTCCAATTTAAGGCCGGATAGTGACTTACGTCATCTAAACAGCAATATGGCAGCAGTTTGGGTAAAAATTGTATCTTCTTGGCTTTGCCTTGCAATTTATGCATGGACGCTTGCAGCACCAGCAATTTTTCCTGATCGTGACTTTTCGTGAAATTGAAAAATCTGATCCTAATTAAAACCGAAGTGAATTTTGGAATTTCATCCCACAAATTAAGATTTTGTACATAATTTCATAATTTGATACCTACTTCTCTTTGCTTATTTTTAGTGTTGAATGGAAAAATTTTTTCTTGCCGTCGCTGAGATATAATTTTCTCTCATATTTTCCGTTTTAATCTGCAGTCAATATGTGTATATTTTGTCATGAATTAAATATTTTGTATTTCTTGAATGCTTAGTTCATTATCTCTATACATACATTTGACATGTTCTACATGATGTCAGTGTCCATTCATCTCTCTTGTGAAAGCTGTTATGAATCAAAAAGGATTATTTATTTTAATCAGTAACTAGGTGAGTCCCGAATTGATCAACTGTACCAACACTTTTTGAGATAAGACATGATCTTTTTTGATGGAATCATAAAACTCATTTCATATTCGATAGCACTAAATTGTACGCGATAAATGATTATCGTTGCTTTTTCTCCGTGATTATGCAGTAAAGCATCTATTTTCGTTTCTATCTATTCTGTCATAAGGTTTCCAACCAAGCAACGCTTTTTTCTTGTTTTTAATAAAATAAATTGTGGATTGCGATATGTTAAGAGAAGCGAAGGCCCTGTAATACTGTTAGCTGTAGCTTATTGTCGCTTAAAGTCACTTAACTTTCCTAAGTATATGTTTTTCTCATAAAGGCAAAATATTGCGTCTTTTATACAGGAAAAGACAAACTCGTTTGCTTCTTGATGTTTCATTATTTCAGGTCCAAAAAATGGTTGCTGATTTGTTGTCTATGGAGCGGTACGTTGGACCGGTAAGGGTCACTTCATACTGTTATTTTTACCAGATCATATACAGATTTTTAAAGCATTTAATAGTTTTCATTAATAGCTTTTACGTGTATCTGCTGATCTAAAACGTGGTGTGATGTGTACCGCAGTTTGTTTTGATTTCAACGACAATTTTGAGTCGAAATCTTGTTTAGATTGGAAAATTTTAGGTAAACCCTTCACTATATTCGCAGCTAGCTGTGTTGTTACTCGCAATAGGCCTCTTTTTTATGGCTTGGTTCTTCGTTTACGAGGTTGTTGTTCGTTAAATACCTACTTCTTTTCTCATTTGATATTTTCCACATGTTTATATTATAAAAGTTCTTCATTTTTAATAACTATTTCTACACCTCAGTGTGTTTTAGGTAACTTCAACGAAATTTACTCGAGTGCTTGTCAAGGAATTGTTAATTTCATCAGTTGCAGCTCTTTTCCTTGGATTTGGTGCGGTTTTTCTCATGCTTTGGACAGGGATTTACGTTTAAGGAAGTACTTACGGTGATTTCAATCCTGCACTTATTCTAATTTTTTTTTACAATACTAATTGTTTTTACTTTTTTATTTCTAATTTATTTTGGAGGATATGAAAAGCTGTTTTGGGTGGTTACGTCAGTCCAGATTTTAAAATTCTTGCTATTTCATAGTCTGATTCCTTTTAAGATTTGCAGTTTCAGATTCTATAAAGATTATACTTTTTCATATACTTCTCTCCATGACTTTCTGGCTTATCGAGGTTTACCTGTTTAAAATATGCACTCTGAATGAGTTTATAGTTCTGTTGGTTTTGACTGCTGTGATAGAAGGATAGTTCCTTTTTTTTGGTTTGTTGAGTTGAATCTAAGTTTATTTGTTACCTTTTATTGAGGAGAAAAGTGTATTTCAAGGTTAATGGTACTGTCATCACATAACAATGTATTTGAAGTTCGAACTACTCTGCATCATATAAATTAGGTACAGCAAAAACAACATACGAATTCCAAGAAAAAATATTACTTTCGTCTGATTATTCCCAAAAATTATTAATTAATTTGGGTTGCTTAAAATTCTTAACGATGGAAATATCAAACTAAATTTCATTTACAAGCACATGTCAGTTTTGTGCGAGTTAGATTTATCTGTTTTAAAGTTGGTGAAAATAAGATTTCCGAATAATTCATTTCTCTCTGGTTGGGTAATTTAGCACGCTTTATTACAAAATTGCGGAAGAAGTTATATCATACCATTCAACTTCGGAATGTGGCAGACTTTACTGTCAAACTTTCTAGATCGAATCTACTTGTGTTTTGTGCAAACACTCTGACATTTGCCAAGGTTCTCGAAACGATTTTCATTACCGCCGCAACTTTGAGCACCGAATGGATAACATTTCTCGGTAACTGGATCAAAGTAATAGCGCACCTGCAATTCACTCCTGCCTATCGTATCATCGTTTGTTTCTTCGGTTGGACATAATCCCGAGTCTGCAACAGTTCATGTAGAAAAAGGAGAGCGAAGTCCCAAATATCGGTTAAAATTATGGATAAGTGCTCGTGAGAGTTTGGACAGTTTTACCACTACTACTACTCTCATTGTAACGTTACCTCGTTTTTGATAACGGTATATATCATTGTAACGTTACCTCGTTTTTGATAACGGTATATATCAAAGAATAAGCCTATGATAATATTTAGTCAGATTCCGATGAAAAATTCTCTTATCTGCAATATAACTTGATATTTCAGTTTAACTGTTGATTCCTAAATGTTCCATTTCGATTCTGACAAGATAGCAAACCTGGTGGGAGGTAACAAATGCATGGGTACCGTTGCACATCGGTAAATACTGGTGGATCTGGTGAACGAGCAGCATCTAGTAGGTTATACAGGAACATGGGCAAGGTTAATACCGGAGAATATATCATTTCTGAAATGTGCCTAATATTCTGAAGGATATAGGATAGATTTCTGCTACTAAATGATTACCTGCCCACTTAGTCAGACATATACTTCTATTTGAATATAGTATTGCTCCCCCTCCTTCACCGATACTTGTTGAGGGAATTTTCTGTCCACTATTTTATACTTAATCAAATATAAGAAATGTGTTTGAACGTAAATTTGAAATTTATTTCGATTGCAACAGATGTTGGAGTATCGATCGAAATATTTGAAATTGATGCGTTAAAGTGAGTAAACAAACAAATACACGCAAGCAAGGAGACATGGAGGATTGGAAATTGGCAAATTCAAATGAAACATTACTCTGCCGTTAATGGCTTGTGTAAATCCATTTAATATGGTTGATTTTAGAAAGTGCGCAATCAGTACAAGACATATGCTAATGTGAAAATTTGATTCCACATTTCCGCTGTCTTGTAACCGATGAAAATAGGAAAGATGATTAAACTGAATTTTAGTTGCGCATGAAATGTATCAGGAAGAATGAGTATCTTGAAGACAAGTGGAAGCGAATGCTTCTTGGAAGAGACGAGCATGTCAAATTTATTTTATTTCAGTAATTCTGGGACATATTTCAATTCGAAAATTCTGTACAAGAAGCAAAGAGAGTGAAGAAAGTCATGTTAACGGAGAGAGATGAATATGGCACTTAACCAAAAGCATTCTTAGAAGTAAATTGAGGAAATCTACAACACAAAATATATGAACTTAGCAATATTTCGATAGTTAGCTTGTCCCTTTCAAAATTTTAATTTATGCAATTCGAATTCTGTTGCTTATGAATGTCGCATTCATAGTTATTAATATGCAGCAGAACTTGTTTTCTGTCTTACAATTTCATTCTTAACCGGAAAAAAAAGAATCATAGAGATGAACTTTCCAAGAATCATTATTTTCAAATGTTCTCAAAATGCTTATAACAAACAATTTACGAAATAACCAGCAGATAATTAGTACTCATTATGACATCGAAGACAAAGGAAAAGAAATAGGTCCGAGGTCATTTCTCCTTAGAAAGTATGAATTTGAAAATGTTGAAATTCGTTTTAAAACCGAACTTTGCTACTTTAAAATCTAGCTTTCAAATTAAAATTACTAATTTACATGCTATAAATGAAATCAATCGGATTATTTACACGAATATGTTACGAAAAGTGACAGGAAAGAATATAAAATGTATGTTGCCAAAGATTTCGTGACGAACAATCACTGGTGACCTAAATATCCATCATTTCCCTCCTCACTTACTGACCCTCCCTATTCCGAGAAGTGGTCAGTCTTTAAAATTTAAAATTTTCTTCTCATCATCAAAATATGATGGAATTGTAACGGTTAATTTTTCTGAAAATCAGAAACGTCTATGGAGAAACAACGAGAAACTAGAATTTTTGCAACAGAAAAATTAACAGGATGGAAGAGATTCCTTTTAAGTTCCATTGGATGACCGACTAAAAGTTGTAAAGTTAAATTCTGCTCAAATATGTCATATGGAATTTTTCAACAATTGTTTGATGAAATAATAATGTAATAAGTGAAGTGACTGTCATCGTAATCATCGACCGATGAGTGAGGAAGATGTGTCGAAGAGATTGATTTTAGAATAAAGTATCTACAGCTGTTTCCATCTACTCAGATTTGTAAGTACGAACCTGATGCTATTGATAGTTATCACAATAAAAACTTTAAAAAGAATTTTATGAAGTCGGCATTTTAAAGATAAATCTGTGGAATGTCAAAATTTGCGGTACTACGGCGAGATTTAGAACTACTGTCCAATGTCCAAAGCTATCTCTTTACTTTCACATAGACACGCGTATTGTTGTTGTCATTTATTAACAAAATTCGATTGTCTCTAAAGACTAAACGAAAGTTATATCTCTAGTAATAGTAGTAGTTTAGGGTTCTCGATGAGTAAAACTGATGGTTATTAGTAACTGATAAATGCTTTAAAAGAGTGGCTGTTGTGTCACATACATTGTCATTGCATAAATATTTATAACAAATCTCCTAGTGTACTAATATAAAATTATTTCATTATACATAAACAAATTGGGTTAAACATTATGACTGTTTTAAGAGTGCACTTAATATGAAAGGAAATCTAATCAAAATGTCACTTTGTCCTTTTTAATTTTTTAAACGTGCCAAGGGATACTTAAAAGCATTTGACATCTTTCATTTCTGATTTCTTAATGTCAAATCTTCCCATTTACCTACTAAATTTTTTTTTACCTACTAAATTTTTTTGATCAGTTTTGCATATATCATGAGCGACATTCATTTTAACAATGTCACGAAGGGATTTTGACTCTATCTGTAAAATTGTTGCCCTTATGAATTCTAAAACCTCATTTCTGCTCTGTATTATGGTCCCTTCAAAAATTAAATCATAAAAAGTGTATATGTCAAATATTTTGTTCGCAAAAAATAGAAGAAACATTTTCGCGTTTTTCTGTACAAGATTACAGAAAAATCCGACGGAAAAGATCACCGATAACCAAAAAAATTTGACCAAAAGGAAATCAAATTATGAAATATTATTAAAAATTGTTGAAAGGTCCAATTATTTCTTTTATTATTGACCAACAAATGTAAAATCTCTAGGATTATTAAACCTATCCTTTGATGGTCTAAAAATTTTTGCCAAAATTTCTGTAGCAGTCTTTTGATTTTTGTTGGAGGCGCTTGCTTGACAAAAGCACTTTCTGACCTAAGCCAGAAAAGAGACCTTTTTTTGGCGTAACAATCAGCTTGACCTATTTTTCCTACGAGAACTGATAACATATGGAAGGAAAAACTACAGGAACGAGAGATGTGAACAATCAAGCAGATAATCTGCATGCAGGGGCTGAAGTAATTAAGAGGTAAGTGTTAATAAGTAATCAAATGTGCAGGTATGTAAGCCAAAAGTTGCCCACTTGCACAATTCTTAATGTCACTACGTGTAGTTCTTCATAAAATTTAGTAAAAACGCGAATGTTCCGTCATATTATCAAATTGTTTGTGTGCTTGAAACTTCATTTGAGGAGCTCAGGTATAATCTCTCAACATTCGAAACCGAAACTTATCAATGGATTTTACGGTTAAAAACTTTTTATAGTGATGAAAGCCAATTAAAATGTATCAGAATTTTACCGCTATTTTCTTAATTTTATTAACACAAAACTTTGGAGTAATTTTGAGTAAAGATGTTAATTCAAAATGTCGCCCAAAATGTTGTTATCTTTTCAGCTGATGATAGATCTTCGATCTCTGCAAAGCTAAATGACAAAAAGTCAACTGAAATGTTATTGTGGAAGATATGTAATAGTCGTATTCACAGAAGTGTAAATTGAAATGAAGCATAAAATGATTAACTGTTAGTGAGGGTTCTTTCAATTTTCTCAAAAAGTTTTTATTTTTTGAACATCACGCATGATTGTTTATAGTTATTCATCCGGAATAGTGATTTTAAATTTTTCCTGGGATTAAATTTCATTAGATCAGAGAATTTCAGTAGAAGATTTATTATCTTTGTCTATCCCTAATGCTGTTGTATTTATAGGCTCATATATGTTGGCCCGTTTGTCAATTAATTGACATCAGTAATCTCCTTAATTCTTTGTTACCCTTAGCCGACGAATTTCATGAAGAAATCTTGAAACAGTTATCCTGAATATGGGTGTGGTTTAAAATTCGTTTAGGGTCTAAAATCAATAAACAACAATCGGAAGAGCCTTAAAGGCTTTTTTTTCTCTCAAAGGATATTTGAATCAGCGCTCTACCAAACATATCACTCTTTTCCTTCATTACCACAGACATCCACAAACTGTGCCATAAATATGATAGCTTAGCTCGCCAGCCTGATAAATGGCTCCATTGCGACGTTCCATTGCTTTTCGACAAAGTATCCGACGGTTCCAGAAATCAATCCAGGAAGGGGTAAGTCTTCCGTTGTTTATCCTTGATCTAACAGTACTATTATATTAAAAATGGTGCCACTCCTCGTATTCTCACCAAATAGGATTTTATTTTCAACTTTGATAATGCGAAAATGGACAATATTTCTTCATAGAAATTAAAGATTAATTTTACTGTTGCAACGGTCATTCCCGAATCATCAGGGTATAAGCTCCAGTTTTCTATCTTGACATATGGTCTGTCGATCTATTCTCATTATTCAAGGGAACATATTTTTTGTGTCACATACTCATACAAACAAGAAAATTCAAACAAGATATGAAATTTAGCATCTACAGAGGGTAAACGCTTAATCTTTTAGGAAATGTTTGATTTATATTTGATTTTGTTAATGCTTTTATCACAAAGCACAAGATGGTTCTTTGATAAGTCTTGAGAACATTGTTCAAAAGATTGATTGCTACAAGATATTGATCCAGAAGGGATCATTGCTGGTTACCAAATTCATCAGTTTTTTATAAGGATAGCTAAATCTCACCAAGTTCCACTTAAATGAAATTTAATCTTGTTTGCTTCGAATTTAATCTTTGAGTACTAAGATGAGAAATATTGAGGTGCACTCAAAGGAAAAGCTATTTTATTTTCATTTGTCTCAAGTGTCAATTAATACAATTACATATTATATCGATAAAATTTGCAACTTTCTTGCTTAAATTTTCGACTGTTCTTCTGCC